CAGGGGGGCTGCCCGAAGCCGGTAGCGCTCGGGCAGCTCAGCTCTTAAACAGAGCCGAAGAGTCAGGGGAGGAGCACAGCAGCCAGAGCTCAGGAGGGGAAGTGCCCGGCCCGGGGCGCAGGGTCTGGAGGCATGGGGGCTGCCCGAAGCCCGAGCGCTACCGGCTTCACGGTTTGCCGGGCAGCCTCCAGACCCTACGCCCCCGGCTGGGCGCTTCCCCTCCCGGGATCCAGCTGCGCTGGGGAAGCGCCGCCGGGGGCGCAGGGTCTGGGTGCTGCCCAGCAAACCGTGAAGCCGGTAGCGCTTGGGCAGCCCTTTTCGCATGGCTGGGAGGGAGGAGGGGGAGTTAGGGCGTGGACTTTGGGGAAGGGGCGGGGAAGGAGCGGAGTTGGAGCGGGGCCGGGGGTGGGGAAAGGGGCGGGGCCAGGGGCCCGTGGAGTGTCCTCTTTTTTTATTTTTTAAATATGGTAACCCTAATACTGGGGTTGCCAAATTTCTACTCGCACAAAACTGAACACCCTTTCCTTGCCCCCTGCCCTGCCCCTTCTCCAAGGCCCTGACCCCGCTCACTCCATCCCCCCGTCCCTCGCTCTCCCCACCCTCACTCACTCGCTCATTTTCACTGGGCTGGCTCAGGGGGATGGGGTGTGGGAGGGGGTGAGGCCTGGGGTTGTGGGCTCTGGGGTGGGGCCAGAAATGAGGGGTTCAGGGTGCAGGAGGGGGCTCCAGGCTGGGGCAGGGGGTTAGGGTGCAGGGGGGGTGAGGGATCTAGCTGGGGGTGTGGGCTCTGATGTGGGGCTGGGGATGAGGGATTTGGGGTACAGGAGGGGGATCAGGGATGGGGCAGGGGTTGGGTTGTGGGGGGTTGTGACGGCTACACCTGGGGTTGCAGACTCTGGGGTGGGGCTGGGGATGAGGGGTTTGGGGTGTAGGAGGGTGCCCCGGCCTGGGACTGAGGGGTTCGGCGGGCAGGAGGCGGATCAGGGCTGGGATAGGGGGTTGGGACACGGGGCGGGGGGAGTGAGGGCTCCGGCTGGGGTTGCAGGCTCTGGGTAGGGCTGGGGATGAGGGCTTTGGGGTGCAGGAGGGTGCTCCAGGCTGGGACTGAGGGGTTCGGAGGGAGATCAGGGCTAGGGCAGGGGGTTGGGGTGCAGGAGGGCGTCAGGGGTGCAGGCTCCGGGCGGTGCTTACCTCAAGGAGCTCCCGGAAGCAGCAGCATGTCTCCAGTCCGGCTCCTATGTGGAAGCATAGTCAGGTGGCTCTGTGTGCTGCCCTGTCTGCAGGCGCCACCCCCGCATCTCCCATTGCCCGTGGCTCCTGGCCAATGTAAGCTGAGGGGGCGGTGCTTGGGGCGGGGACAGCGTGCGGAGCCCCCTGGCTGCCACTAAGCGTAGGACCCGGAGGGGGGACATGCTGGCTGCTTCCGGGGAGCCGCGCGGTGGGGAGGCTAGCAGGGAGACTGCCAGCCCTGCTGCGCGGTGCCGCCAACCAGACAGTCAACGGCCCAGTCAGCGGACATCTGGTCACCCTAATGCATACACATGCACTTTGTGCGCGCGCGCACACACACACACACACTGCACAGACACACTCCTGGTCATATATACTCTGTCTCTGTCTCTCTCTCTCTTGCTCTCTCTCTCACACGCACACTGCAGGACTGGGACACACACCCAAGAGAGACAATCGCGCCCCTGCAGCCCTCGCCCTTCCACCAGGCCCTGGGGCACAGGTGGCACCGGGAGGGCAGGACAAGCTCCTACTGCCTATGCTGGGCATGGGCGTCTCTAGCAGCCAGGCCTGCCCTTCCCCTGGCTGGGAACCTGGGCAGGGACTGACTGGGGCAGAGGGTTGTGGTTATGGGGTACCCAGGGCATCAGTAAGGGGGTAGATTCACTGGGGCACCAGAGCCGTGCGGTTAGAGGGCCTGGGAGCTAGGACTTATGTGTTCTATTCCTAGCTCTGGGAGGGGAGTGGGGTCTAGTGGTAAGAGCAGGGGGACTGGGAGCCAGGACTTCTGGGTTCCATTTCCATTCTTGGAGAAACCTTGGGTGGAGGATCACAGGGGCAGGAGCACCAGGCACTGGGGCTGGTGGGTTCTGAGTGTCAGAGGACCCTGCCCTGTGACCACTTCCCCCATAACTCCCTGCCCCACTGAGCATCTCTGGGCCCTTCAGTGGGAGGATCTGCCTCACCCCAACTGCCCAGTCAGGCTCTATATAAAGACACCCAAAGGGGAAGGAGACTCAGGGACTCTCAGCTCTGCCAGCAGCTGGATCCATATCTGATGGGAGCCCCAGGACTCGGGTGAGCTGAGAACAGACCCTCCCCGGGGGGAAATGCAGAGTGAGGGTGTGATGGGATCCCCTTGGGGTGCAGCCTGGGACCGAGATGCAGCCTGGGACTGTGCCCCCAAACTCTCCCCAGCCTGGGCTGTCTCTCACAATGCTTTGCTAGTGACCAGCAGCAAGCCCCTCCAGGCACTGTGATCACTCAGCACAACTGCATGTGGAGCCCCACACCCAGCTAGATTGCATGAATGCTCCCAGAGCCACTCATGAATCACACAGAGAAAGGCACCTGCCAAATCTCCCCAGTTCCCAGCATTATACCCCAGGAATATACCGTCTTGCACTGCTCAAGATGGGCAATGCAAATTTATTAATTGGTTCACCACTTCAACAATGGAAAGTGGACATACACCAAACCTAAGCAGATTTGCCCCACACTTCATACAAACTCACTGGTAAAGATAAACAATTAAACAAATTTTTGACTATAAAAGGTAGATTTTAAGTGATATTAAGTGACAGGCAAAAAGTCAGAGTTAGTTACCAAAAGAAATAAAATATAAGCATGCAGTCTAAACTTTCAACCCTATTACACTGGGCAGCAACTAGATTAGGCAGTTTTTCTCACCCCACTGGATATTGCAGTCCTTAATATACAGGTTTGTTCCTTAAACCTGGGCCAATCTCCTGTGTCGGCTGCTCTTCTAGGCATTTGTCTCCACAAGGTTTAGGAGTCCTGGGTTCATTCGCTGTCTCTTAGGATGCAGATTTCCAAGCCCCCCCCCCAGAGTCTGCAGGCCAAACCCTGGGGTGTGTCCATGGGAGTTGGGCACCCCAGAGGGAGCTGAAAACTCCAATGTAAACTTCTCTCTGCTCAGTTTCCCCACCTGTAATTGGGGGAGAAGAACCCTTTCCTTCCCTGCTCCCTGAGCAGCGTGAGCTCTGCCTGCATTTCCTTCTGTTTCTGGGACACTCCAAGCAGAAAGGGGCCCTGATCTCGGTCGGGGTCTGTGCAGCACCCGGCACAACGGG